CCTTGTTTATTTTCCCATTCCCCTCTCAACCTCTTATATGTAATTTTGTATAGCAATGAGGGTCTCCCTTCATTTCCATGCAATTTCCCAATAAGGGTTAATTTCAATACATACTCCCATTAACTTCGTCTGCAGAAATGACAGGAGGAGAGGCTTTCTCATATATCACTGAGGGGCTGCAAAGGGCCTCACCTCTATTTTCTGATAGACCTCCTTAAACATCCCAGGGATGACATACTGTCGCTCCACCGCCTGGATCTCATCTCGAGTGGGCCAGATATCTTTCAGAAATACTTGTTGTCCCTTTGCATTTGTCCCTGAGGAAAATATGTTTACCAATGAGAAAAGCCTCCTCTAATATCCTCTTTGCATTATTAATACAGTCAGGTTTCTTTTCTCTCAATGGTTATGTTTGTTCTGAAAAGTATGTGTGAAGAGTCAGTCAGTGAACCATTGCTCCTAGGAGAGATACAGGTTAAGATAAGGCCCTAGGTGCTTCTGACTACACTTTAATCCATACATAAACTTGTTTTAGGTGTCCTCCTGTTTAAAGACATCTTACTTACTATACAGTTGGGCCTCTGTATTTGTGGGTTCTGCATCTGCTGAACCAACAATGGATTGAAAATGCTCAGGAAAAAAAATTGCATCATACTGTGCATGTATAGATATTTTTATCATTATTCTCTAAATAGTACAATATTTATAAATCTATTTTATATAGCATTAACATTGCATTAGGCATAATAAGCAATCTAGATATGATTTGTGTAGGTTATATGCAAATACTACATCCATTCATATGAGGCACTTGAGTGCCTCCTGATTTTGGTATCCCCAGGGGTCTTGAAACCAATGCTCATGGATACTGAGTGGTGGGTATATATATAGCCTTGGACTTATAATTGAAAAGCACTATAACTCATGCCTCAATAAAGCCTACCTCAACATAAGGTACACCACCATGGTCTTCTTGTGCACAAAATATCACAGTACTTCACACTATGCTCTAGGACCAATTTAAAAGCGGAACCACCACAAAAAAGCATAAAAATGAGGAAAAAATGGCACTAAATAGACTGTGGAAAGTCTGCAGAGTGTGGGAGCTGATACAAGAAGATAAGAGTGCAGCCTTCATGGACCTCAGCATGGAAGGTGTGTTGAGTGACTTGAGAAGTTTTCACTCCTGTGCATGTATGTGAGTGGCATTAAAGCATCAAAAATACTGACTGAAGGTTAAAATACATTTTAGTGGGTAGGCAAAATTGCAAATATGGAATCCACAAACAATGAGGATCAACTGTACTTCTGAAGTTATAATTTCCTAAAAGTAAATCTAAGGGATAATGTTTGTGTATCATCTAAACTTTTTGGAATGGACTGAGAGGGTACAGCAAGCGAGAGGCCCACAGGAAAGGAGTCAAAGCATCAGTTCTAAATTTTGAGAAGTTGAAATATCTTAACACGTTTAACAAAAAACATGTTTAAACAATGCCTAATCATTAGAGTAAAGCAAGAGTGAGAAAGGGAGGAACTGTAGAAGCCAGGAAAGCAAATCTCTACTACTTTTGGCATTTATTTCCCTTTGCTACTCTTGCCCACATTCATGTTTAGTTCAGTATGTGTCTTCCCTGTGTATGGAGAATGCTGAAAATATTCTCCTCTTTGTCTTATCTCTAAAGGTTCTGTGCTTCATTTTTAATCAAGAAAAATAGCAATTTTCTTCCAATACTGTTTTTTAATTCACTGGAAAAAAATTATAGACACACAAACAAAATCTTACCCAGTGGTTCTTTCTCAAAGTCAATCCTGATGGTCCCAGCGATTGCGTATGCTATTACTAAGGGAGGAGACGCTAAATAGTTGGCCCGGGTGTTAGGGTGGACTCGACCCTCAAAGTTCCTGTTCCCAGATAGTACTCCAACAGCTACTAGGTCTCCCTGTATAAGGACAAGATGGAAAAAAATCAAGTCATAAAGAGGAAGAGACTGCCTAGACTTCTTATCATAGATCACTCACAACAGTTCACATAATGTGGGTGTGGCCCTTTCATTTTCACCTGGTCCTCCTGGGCTACAGAGAGAAGGGTCTTTGGGACCAGAGTTGTGCTCAATGATCTCTTCTCATGAGAAAACTCCAAGCAGGTCAAAGCACAATCTCCCAGATACTGCTGCCTGAGCTGAAGAACAGGTGGGGAACATAAGCTGATAGCTAAAGGGAGCTATGGTGACCTATGTAAACTCAACAGTACTGGGGACAAAAGCCAATGCAATTTAGATTATTTAGGTGGAGACCAGTTTGACTTGGAACCAATTTTCAACAAAATTGTAGCCAGAACTAGCATGTACTGAGCACTTACTTAAGTGCCAGGCACTGGGCTAAATGTTTTATGTTGACTGTCATTTTAATTCTCACAACTCTATAAAATAGAAACTATCATCATCTCTAATTTACAGTTGTGGAAACGGAGGAACAAACAGGTTAATTAACTTAACCAGGGTAACTGAGCCAGATATTTTATTTTATTTTATTTTATTTTATTTTATTTTATTTTTTTTAAGAGAGAGTGAGAGAGGAGAGAGAGAGAGAGAGAGAGAGAGAGAATTTTTAATATTTATTTTTTAGTTCTCGGCGGACACAACATCTTTGTTGGTATGTGGTGCTGAGGATCGAACCCGGGCCGCACGCATGCCAGGCGAGCGCGCYACCGCTGAGCCACATCTCCAGCCCAAAGAGCCAGATATTTTAAAGACCATATTCTTAACCACATCCCCTGTTTTTACGGTGTATTTGAAATTACCAGCATTTTTGTCGTATCTTATATGGGGGGGGGAGCTCTGAATACCTACAGGTTCCTCTGTAATTACCTGAGTGATGGCTTCTACCACAGGTTCAGGTAAGGGTCCACTGTTGCCAATGCAGGTCATGCAGCCATAGCCCACCACATCAAACCTATGAGTCAAAGGGAAGCACAAGAAAAATAATGACTTTCCATGAACCCTTTGCAGGCAGTACTTCTGAGAGACCATGGATCACAAAGGAATAGGAGCGCCTGAGGTTAAGTTCAGGACAGTGTTGTTTTCTAAAGCTTTCCTTCTAACTTATAACAAGGAGATAAATGATTCACCATTTTAAAAAATTCAAATCAGATATGGTATTTAATATTTCCATTTACTACTGCTATTGTATAAACTCAAGAATTTTTGAATTTTATGAAGTGTACAGGAAAAAATGTCATCTAAACCAGGAATAATATGGACACTGGAGAAACTATATTTGGCAACTGATTTGTCTCAAGAAATTACAATGTTTTTAGCCATAGTAAATACTTACTTTCATGCCCAAAGGCATACTCTCAGTTGCAGAGCCTCTGCTAGCCCATGGCATACCTCAATGCAAGTAAGAAAAAGATGCACCCTTCCTCCAGGAGGGTGCAGCCCCACATTAGGTGGTCTCAGTTTCAGCCCCTGCTTTGTCTTTAGGATCATCCTTATATGATGAACAACCAGCACAGGTGGGCCATATTCAGTTGAAATGTCTGGGTTTAAATCTACCTACCAACTGATAAAAGACTATACTGTTGAACAGCATCAGATAAACTCATAGATACCACATGGTGACACAGCAAAACATATGAGGAAAAGCTACAACAAAAGCAATGATGTAAAACAAAATACTCCCTCACCCAAGCTGAGACAGGTAAGGCATGACTCCACTTTCTCGCAGATAGTAAGTGACCACTCCACTGCCAGGAGACAAGCTGGTTTTGATGTATGGCTTCACATTCAGGCCAGCATCCACAGCCTTCTTTGCTAATAATCCTATAAAATGTAAGCACAAACAGTGTGTGGTGACTCCCTGCCACTGTCAAGGCTTCCTTGGTGCTGGCATTCTGTGCCATTTCTGCTATCAGAAATCAAAGTTCACTGGCTCAAAGTTGTTTACACATTTGTAATAAAGTCAGAACTAGTCACGAAAATAAAGAAAGAGACGTGTTTACTTTTCTTTTTTAAAGAATAAATGCAAAACTTAAAAATATGTTACAAAGTGAGTTTTTAATTTTTGGAGGAAGTGCAATTTTTTAAGTTGAGTTTGATCTGTGTGAAAATTATAATTGGAAGGCTTCTTTCTATGAATTGTATACTGGTTGGTGAGAAATATAGTGAGCCTAGAAGTAAAAATTTAGACTACAGATATTTCTCAAGAGCTCCCAGGCCTTTGGACTTTGAGCAAATACAGGAACTGTTACTGGAACACTGGGTGCTCTCACTTAGTTAAGTATCACAAAAGTAGAAAAGAATGGAATAGGGGTGAGGGTGTAAAGGGACAAAGAGCTACAGATAAGTTGGTGATGTGTCTTAAGAAAAACTGGTTTGCTCCAGACAAGGAAAGCTTAAACCCAAAAGATGAACTTTCTGACAAAGGTTTTCCTTATACCCATAAACAAACTACATTGACATTGGTCTGTGGACACAAAGGAAATTCGTGGGGATGATTAAACATTTGGAAACTAAAGAAATATTATATTAGTGAAACACTGCATTTAAASTTAAAATTAAATATTTAACCAGAACTGTGTAACAAGACAGGTGCACTGAGTTTTATCAACCAGTGCCTCGTGCCCTAGTTCCGATGCACTTGCCAATGCACCTAAACATTACTAAATTTCACTGGTCAGGAGTTTTACAGAGAACAAAATCTGTGACAAGACAATAGGTTCTTTTTTTTTTTTTTTTTTTTGTCTTCTAAAGTCTGAAAAGATTCTAGCTTTGAAAAAATTCAGATTTCTTTGGTTTCCTCTACTTATTTTCTCTAAAGAGACAGACTATTATGCATCTTTGTTAAATACTTTGCTTTGRATGCTATTGTTGTATAGATATTTCTGGGCCAACAAATATCTTTATCTACAAAGACAAAGTTCAGGGAACTATGTGTGCAACTGTTATGACCCTGGGTCATATCTTGGGAATTTCCACAAGCATGACCACATGGTAGTGGGGATGGACTCTAATGCACTTACCTGCTCCTAACATCACAGATGGATTACTGGTATTTGTGCAGCTAGTAATGGCAGCAATTACCACAGAACCATGAGCAAGGGTGAATTCATTATTATTGTAGATAAATGTCTTCTGGTCATTGTGATGGTCTGCAGCAATTTGGAATCCTTTAAATCCTTGCTATAGAAAGAARAAAACACAATTTAGGAAGAAAAAAATGTAAGAGATATGGTTTTTAATATAGGAGGAAAATATATATATTGTCAAAAAGTTCTCACTTTGGAAGAAGGAATTGGTAACCACAATTTTAAAGGCCAGTTATTAACAACAAAAAATCTCTGCCAGTAATCTATGAAATACCACATAAAGTTTCTYTACATTCTTTTAAAATATTTACAAAAGGCAGCCATAATTCCTGAATCTTACTCTGCATTAAAATCAATAATGATTATTCTCTTCTCTCTTAAAAAATGAGAATGCTAGACAGGTGCAGTGGGGCCCACCTGCAATCTCAACAACTTGAGAGGCTGAGGCAGGAGGATCACAAGTTTGAGGCCAGTCTGAGCAATTTGGAAAGACCCCCTGTCAAATGAAACAATAAAAAGGGCTGGGGAGGTAGCTCAGTGGTAGAGAACCCCTGGGTTCAATACCCATACTGCAGATAGATAGATAGATAGATAGATAGATAGATAGATAGATAGATAGATAAAATTACAAGTTTAGTTCAAAGTTGATCTACATAGAACTCCAAGACATTACTGTATGGTTTAATGGACATGGACTGACTAAAGCTACTAACTTTTTTTTTTTTTTTAAGAGAGAGTGAGAGAGGAGAGAGAGAGAGAGAGAGAGAGAGAGAGAGAATTTTTTTTTAATATTTATTTTTTAGTTCTTGACGGACACAACATCTTTGTTGGTATGTGGTGCTGAGGATCGAACCCGGGCCGCACGCATGCCAGGCGAGCGCGCTAACGCTTGAGCCACATCCCCAGCCCGAAGCTACTAATTCTAACCTTAAGGAAATTTAGAGAAAGTTGTCATTTTGACCAGGTTCAGTTTACTATGATCAATAACAGATAAAACAACTGAAAATCTTATATAAAGCTAATCTTATTCATTTGGAAGTGTTCATTGAAAATCCGTGTCCAAGATGTTGCTGGTATTCTGTGGGATACCAAAACAACTGGMAGTCTAGTAAGAGAAATCACACATGCAAACAAAACACCAACASTGTGAGTTGAAGAATATAGAGTCTCATCAAAATGATTCAGACCAACCCAGCCATGAGATGCTGAGGCCACGCTGTAGAGGAGCTGGTACCTGAACCAAGCCTTATGAAGCTGACAGAATAGGATGTGATGAAATGAAGACAGGTAGGCAGGGAGTGGCATGAACAAAAGTAGATAGTCCTAAAGCATGGCTGAATAATGAAGAATGTGGTGAATCCAGTAAAGAATAAATATGCTTAAAAATGAGAGTTGTGCTGTGTTTACAGATAGGCAYATGCTCTTTGGAAGCTGTGTGGCCCACAGCTAATGGGGGACTCATTAAGGATTTTAGGATAGAGAAGAAACATCCTCAGCACTGGGCTGAAGGAGATTCATCATCCAGTGGAGTGAAAGCCAGGGCACAAGGCAGAATTGGGAGGCCCCTACCTTTGCTCCAAGGCAGGTCTCAAAGTCCTTTTTCATGTCAGACACAGCGACTTTGTCCTGAGGCCTCTTGGGTCCACTGCAGCAAGGTACAACTGTTTTCAAATCTAATTCCACAACCTGTTCACCCAAGCAAAAAGGAATTATAGAATTCACACTGTACCCACAGAGAAGAAACATAGCCATGACAGAAAATTTAAAATCTTACAACAATAAAAATAAGCAAATACGGAAGCAAATCTGCCACATTCCAAATAAAGGAAAGAGGAAACATGTTTGGTGGAAGGTGCTCTTATACCTGGGTGAAGTCTGGGTCTTGAGAGCAGTCACTAAAATCTCGAAACATTCCTACAGCCTGAAGATACTTTTTAATGTACTTGACTTTGTTTTCATCCCGACCTAAATGGCATCAGGAGTACCAAGAAACATGTTAATAATAATATTCCCAGAAGCAGTCACATAATTAAATGTTTTATGTACTCATACCTTTGTTATCTTTCAGCTTCCAGGCTTTACACTGTGACCCTCTGGCTGATGGTGCGTTTTATTAGGGATTATTAACTGTTCTGTTTCCTACCAAAGTGACTACTTTCTGGAAAGGTATTGGTTCTACCCATAGATACTCCTCCTCTTTTTGGCCCTTAATTAAGAGAATTGTAAGTYTGAGCTAATTGTCAAAGTGCACCTATATATATCTATCTTCAATTGGCCAAGAAGACTCTTGGCACRCTATATTACTCTTGTTAAAATCATTATCCAACCCATCCCAAAACCAAGCCTTCTGATATTCAGCACTTTCTGTGTGCTTAACACTGTGTGTTAAATGGGCTAACTACATTATTCCATACTCTAATCCTTTATCCTGACTTTATGAGACAAATACTTTTATTTAAAGATGAGGAAACAGTAGCTCAAGATTAGGTAACCATCCTGTAGAACACAGCTAATAAATGGTAGAACCAGAATTTGAATCTGAGTTTGCTTTCAAAGTCCAAAGTCTTAACTTACAGTGCTGTCATCAGGAATACAACCCTGAACCTTCTGCTCTTTTCAAGATCTTGGTATAGGAGATAATAGTATTCATGAAGTATGCTCAATAGACACACTATTGACCCATCTCTCTGATAGTTAAATGAGACTGAAATTCTGACCCATAGATCGGAATTTGTCTGTTTGTAATAACTGAATTGTAAAGATCATCAGCTTTCAGCACAGACCTCATAAAAGATGGCTACATGAGCTTTATTAACAATCTATCATGGCCTGTGGCAAACCCACTGTTCATTACACCCCATGCCATCTTCTTCATGAACATGAACAAGAGAGATTTCTCTTAGCGTTTATAAAGAGAAAGGATCTGATTCTTTTGAAGAAGTATGCTTACTTCAATTTAACAGTATACAAATTTGGCACTGGGTCACCAGTACTGCAGAAATGAGCCCAACCTCTGAATAGACTCTGCAGCTCTTCTCCCTTTCCCAGTCATTGTCCCTCTCCTTTTCTTTTTTCAGGTTAATGCTCTCTATTATTTATTCTGTTCCTTTATTACTATCTTTTTCACTTCAAATCCTTTGAAGGCAACAAAGGACTTGTGGGGACATATTAATTCCAATTCAGTTATATTTGGTAAAACACTTTTTAAAAAATAAATGTTATTCATCATAATTTTTACTGCTTCCAGAAGAATTTCCTCATAGGGAGAAGACTTGGATTTATTAGGATTCTACAAATCCCTTCCCATAGCTTGCCCCCTCCCTTCACTCAGACATCTGTCCAATTTAAAGTTCCATCAGCCCCTTGCTGACTTTTCTATAGAAAAAGTACTCTTAAGCACTCTGACCACTTCCTGGCTTTCTTCTTCATTGTCACACTTTTGTGTCTGTTCACTGGTATTCCTTCTTCCTCCCTCATAGGAACATAAGCTGTATGAGGGCAGGGTCTTTATTTACCTTGTCTACTGCTTCCTGTCTGGGATCTAGGCTTGATAATGACTGTAGAAAATGAGTAACAGAATGAACATTGAACATTTTTTTTTTTTGTACTGAAGATTGAATTCAGGGGTACTTTACCCCTGAGCTACATCCCCAGTCATGTTTTGAATTTTTAAATTTTGAGACAGGGTCTGGCTAAGTTGCTTAGGGCCTTGCTAAATTGCTGAGGCTTGACTGAACTTGTGATCTTCTATTTCAGTGTCCCAAGCCTCTGGGATTACAGGTGTAAGCCATTGTGCCTGCTGAGAATTTATTTTTAAAAAGGGTTTCTCAAAGAAAAAGTCAAATGTCTAAGCAAATTTATACCAAGTTAAAGATCCATTGATATAAAATACCTTCTTATGAAGTCTCTCATTTCAGTTATTGGACAACATGAGATGGGCATTGCAGAGTGAGGGCCCTATTTGGAGYCAAACAGCTGCAGGCTAGGATTCCAACTGTTACTTATTAGCCTTAGGTAGTAACATTTCTCTGATCATCAGTTTTCTCTCCTACTATTTAACTAACTAATCCATCTCCCCTGTGGACATGTGAAGAGAAAGACAGCAAATGCATGCCAAGTGCCTGGTCTACTACAGCTACATTACTAACCTAACTCGTTCATGTCAGAAACTAGTTGCAGAAAACCCAGTACAAGTATCCAGGTTTCTGTAGCACCACAGCTCTTCCTATGGGCAGTACTACCTCTGACTTATACCTCCTTAAATCCCAACAACCCATCTTGACTTCACAGAGTGAAAAAAAGCCATGTAACTCTATGCTAAGAGCATTGTGAGGGACAGAGAAAGAAGGCAGGGCTCAGATTCTCAGTGTTCCATGAAACTTTAACAAGGAACTCTCTGCTTTCACAGTCCTTCACTTACCTGTCTGCACCAGGTACTTGATACTAATTTCATCAACTGGGAAAAAGGCAGCTGTTGCTCCATATTCTGGACACATGTTTGCAATTGTAGCTCGATCAGCAATGGACAATTGGGCTATTCCTGGCCCAAAGAACTCGACAAATTTGCCCACAACCCCAACCTGGCGGAGGTGCTAACCAGCAGAAACAACAGAAACATTTGAGACTTGACAGCCTACATTTAAAATGAACTGTCATCTTGTAATTCTTATAATTTTTTACATTCCCTTATTACTTGTAAACATAAGTAATAAATTAGCCCAACACATTTTAGATTATTTTAAAAAACAAAACTTAAAAAGCAATGCCATCTGAATGCAACATGACATCCTGGACTGGACCCTAGAACAGCAAAGGGACATTAGTGAAAAACCCGGAGAAGTCTGTGGCTAAAAGTGCCATACCAATGTTAACTTCTTGGCTTTGAAAAATATATCATGGCTATGTAAACTGTTAAAAATAGGAGAAGCTGGGATAAAGGTAACAGGGACTCTATTTTTTTTTTCCTGTAAATCTAAGATTATATCAAAATAGTTAAGGCCAAAATTACAATAACATTTAGGAACTTTTTTCAAAATGAGAAGCACTCTTTGGATCACTAGAAGTGCCAAGTGTTAAAAAATTGAATTTTTCCAATCTAAATAAATCTAAATTGTTATGCAGTCATACTAGTTGAATAAGTAAATGATGTATTTTCAAAAGTATAATGCATAAAATTCATGCAACAAGTCAAATGTAACATCAATAACAAAAATATTTTCTAACCCCATCTTTCCACACAAGCCATCAGCCTGCCAAGGCTCTGGGACTGCTGGCACTTTGTAAAAAGCCAGTTTCACAGAACACAGACAATTACACAGAAAAGCTCTTTTGATTATGTGGATTCTGAAAAATTTTGTGGGAAAGTTCTATATTATTCCGTGTTTGAAAAACAGTGTATAAATAWTTGTGATAAGTGATAAGCTATGGTGTTCAAACAAATCCAATTCCAAATTACACAAAATTAAATCAAAGAGAAACTTTTAAAATTTCTTTTTGGCCTTTTACAGTGTGGTRCCTATATAAAAGAAGCAAATCAGACACACCAAAAACAGATGGTTTCTTACAAAATTTTAAGAAATATTTCCCAATCTGGAAAACCATCTCTTATAATGATGTAATTTATAATACAAATAAGTAAATTTAAAAACTCAAAACATCACAGGGAACTAATTTGTTATTTACAAATAAAGAGAAAACATGTGGAAAAATGTAGCCAAAGTATTAAGATATGCATGGAAATGATTCTTACAACTACAGGATAGTGATTATTTCTAGGAATGGGAAGCAGGGTTTAGCCATAAACACTATATATTTACTTCTTTAAAAACAGTCACGATGCAAATATGACAAAATATTATCATCTGTTAAATCTAAGAAGTGGGCATATAAATATCATTTTAATTACTGCATATTTAAACTATGTCACAATTTTTAAAATTAAGAAAAAGATCTGGGTAGCTAAAGAAGAGTAAAATGCACATAATCATCTAAACCACAGAATATTCCCATTATCTCATCTCTTTTTAAAACTATCAATGTATTGTTTCCTAGCATTTCCAGAGACCCAACTATYTATCTCTTCCCTGTTTGTCACTGAATTACCTTGGTAATGGTGAGCACAATGTCAGTGGATGTTACCAGAGCTTGGGGCTTTCCCATCAACCTGTAGCCAATCACCTGGGGAAGCACCATGCTGATCGGTTGACCAAGCATGACAGCTTCTGCTTCGATACCACCCACACCTGCAACAAACAGGATGGCCAGAATAATGCTTCATTATTTCTCATTGTATCCCTCAACTATCAATTCAATAAACACAATTATAATGTTTAACTGGTAGAGCTGTAGTTCTATAAGAAGCAGATATTCTATTTTCCTCTATACAATCTTTTACAAGTGTTTCTTAAAGTATGTCCCTACCAGTATTTGTCATCAACATTCCCCAAAGCTACACCCAGTGGGGTGGGTAGGGTTTAGGAGTCTGTGTTTTTTTTTGTGTGAGGGAGTTACTAAGAGACTGAACCCAGGGCTTCAATGCCAGGCAAGCCCTCTACCACTGAGYTACATCTCTAGCCCTTTTTCTATTTTTTATTTTGAGACAAGGTATTACTATGTTGTTCAGGCTAGTCTCAAGCTTGGATCCTCCTACTTCAGCCTCCCAAAGATGCTGTGATTACAAGTTTGTGTCACTGTGCCTGGCAGGAGTCTCCATTTTTTTTTTTAAATAAGTTATACTCCATGTATGTATATTTTATTTTATTTATTTATTTTTATGTGGTACTGAGGATCGAACCCAGTGCCTCACATGTGCTAGATGAGCACTCTACCAATGAACCACAACCTCAGCCCCAGGAATCTCCATTTTTAACAAACATCTCAGTTGATTTTTATTTATACAAAGTGTCCCTAACCTATTATTGCAGTTTATTTTTCCAAACAAAATCTGAGTTTCTATTAGATGCAAGGCACTTTCCTGGGCACTGGAAATACAAAAATAAACAGACAAAAACAATTCTCCTATTCATGTGATTATGCAAATACAGCTACTGAGATTTAATTGCAGCAAAGTGAATTAAGGTACATGCTCCAGAAGAGCATATATGGAAAAGGAACGTGGAAGTACACTTACCCCAACCAAGAACACCCAAACCATCAATCATGGTAGTGTGTGAATCTGTGCCCACGAGGCTATCTGGGTAATAATATCCATCCTGATCAAACACCACTCTTGCCAAGTACTCCAGATTCACCTGGTGGATGATTCCTGAACCAGGGGGAATAATCCGCAAGTTGCAAAAAGCCTGAGAACCCCACTGGGATTGAACAGAAAGAACATCATGAATACCAACATAATTCCACTCTGCCCAGTCTGAACACCTCTCTTTTGTATCCCACAAACAGAAAACCAAATAACAAAACCAAACTCTGCCCATACCTTTAAAAATTCAAATCGTTCTTTATTTCTTTCAAATTCTAGGTCCTGATTCTTCTGTAAACTGTCAGCCCTGTGAGAAAGAAAAACTAAATGTATAAACTTCAATGCTTAATGTATTATGGATGAAATTTATTAGTGATGAATAAACAAAATGGCAATTTTATAATCAAACTGCATTGTTTTGAGTCATTTCAAAACTCCAATTTTAGCACAGAGACAGTGCTCATAATTTGATTATCACAGATTGAAGAAACACAGTAATCAAAGACCAAAATCAGACTTTATTTTTTTTTTTTTTTTTTTTTTTTTTTTCAAAATCAGACTTTATAAGTTAACATAATTAAACGTTTACTGATATTACATGTTTCAGGATCCAGATCAAGTGACACTCCTTTGGACAACAATGACTCCTCAGTCAGGATGATTTGCCCCTTCTCTCTGGTGACTACTATATTAAAGGTGTGTGTTCACTTATCCTCTTTCTTCTTAAACTAACCTGTTTTCTGAATAAATACAGTGCTCATAGTATGTCCATTAAGTTGATTTAATTTAAAAACCCCACAACCCCCACCCCCTAAACCCTAAGAAAGCACCTCCAACCATATTTCTACTAGTACAGGTGAGAAAATATGGTCCTTCCCCTGTGCCTGTACTTTGTGCACTTCTGGATTCTCATCACTTTTTCCTCTTCCCTGCAGCACCAGGAAGATATGAGAGCTTCTCATAGCATAAACAGGGCTGAAAGGGAAACATCTACCTGAGGAAATGTTGGGTGCATCTATCTGATCGATGCAACATATTCACAGGATGAGCAGAGGCCAAACACTTAGGCTGTTCTATAACATGGTATTTCCAGGTACTAAACCTCATGAAAACAAAACAACTATTATGTTAAAGTTGGCTCAATTAGCCTAATTCTAGTTACTAGAATGAATAAACAGAGTTCAGGTTTTTTTTTTTTTTTTTTTTTTTAATCACTCAGAACTTTCCTAAATTAGCCCAATGTAGTAATCTTTTAATAAGGTCTCTGAATGTGAATGACCTCATAGACTAAAGGGAAAATTTCTTCTTAGTTATATAATTTGAATTCACATTTGGACATAGTTCATAGTTCCTGAGAATTACACTGAATGGTGCTTTAGCAGTTCCCAAGTAATATTTCATAGACAAGACAGTTTTCATACTCATAAAATCTGGTAAGAAATTGTGAAATTTTTGCTGGAATTTTTAAAAAGGGTATTTCCAAGGTAACTGTATAAAACAGTATAATAATGTGTTAGTTAGATCCTCAATTCCCAGATGATGCGAGGCCAAATAGTATTATTCAAACTAGACCAAAAATTATTTTCAGAAATATTTAACTAAAAAATGTCTCACCCTACTACCCCTTATCCAGTTTTTCTAGCTCATTTCTGGAACAGAGATGAAAATAAGCTCAAAGCACACAGTTCCAAAAGAGTTGAGACACATCACATTTAATTCCTTTAAAAAATGACAAAATGAGAAAAGAAACCAGGAAGTGGAATTGCAAAACCAAAACTCAAGAAACAACAAAACGCCACCAATGAAAATGTTTCTAACAAAAATGTTCTAATTACATATTTTCACTAGATTTGAATATCTGAATCAAAGTTCACCCATGCTTTCACAATAAGGTTTTCAGTACTACAGTATAAATGAAAAAGTCTATTAAAAAATTGAAACCAGAGTTTCAATTTAAAAGGAAAARAAAAATCAGAGGGTGCTTGGTAATGACCCAGTGCATTAATAACCATGAATACTTTAAATTTTGAGTCAGCAGACTTCAGACATGAAATCAATTACAATTCTGTTTCCACTGGTACTTTCACCTTCCAGACGAGTGAAATGAAAGAAAACCTAGGAACATCAATGAGTCTCTAAGAAAGATGGCTATTATTTGTGAGTCTACTTTTATAACTTTTGAAGCGGGACTTTAGGAAACAACCTTACTTTCAAATAGAATAACATTTTATGCCTATATTTTTAACTCTTCCTTTTGAAACTAAAATATTGAATTGAGCTCATGTAATTTAAAAGGCAAGAAAAGACAGAGAAAGAGAGATGTTGCCTACGGATGGTTTCAGGGTTGAAAGAGAAAGTTGACATTTGTCAACTTCAATCTCTTTGTCCCAAGAACTGTCAATTCTGGGACAAAGCACATTTTTCTGAATTTATCTTGTTTGGATATTTGCAATATTAACTGGGGAATGGTCATTTTATAACTCTAAGCCACATCCCCAGTCTTATTTATTTTTTATTTTTAGATGGGGCCTCACTAAGTTGCTTAGGGCCTCACAAAGTTGCTGAGGCTGGCCTTGAACTTGTGGGATCTTCCTGCCTTAGCCTCCCAAGTCACTGAGATTATAGGCCTGTGCCACCATGCCTGGTTTATTTTATATTCTTAAATAACTTTTTAAAATTATCAAAGTAATAGCTTCTTACTATAAAAATCAGTTACAATCCTAGAGATAACTGCTATCTGGTACCTCTTTCCAATCTTTTAATTCCTACATAACTTTTAGTATAGCTGAGATCACTCTATATATGAAATTTAGTACCTGGCACACTGGACTACAACAGGAACATGTTCCAAATGATTAAGCACCTTATAAATATAACTGAGAAGTTAACTAATAATTCACTTTGGGCATGTACCATAAGTTAATAAATCATTCACTATGTTGAATATTTAGATTGTTTCTAGGCTTTCATTTATAAATAATTYTTTAATGAACTTTATTGGCCAGTAAGCTTTTTTTTTCAATTTTAGCTACCTATTAAAGATATGCTTGGAAGCAGAAATTCTAAGACAAAGGATATGGAAATTTGTAAGATCTTACTATATACTGCTTTCATCATTTCTAATTTACAGTGCTATTAGATTGTAAAAGTGCCTCCTTCATGACACTTTTTATAATTAATGTTTATTTTCTAATCTTACCTACATTGATAAAAGAAAATGTTATCTCAAATATTACATTTTATTACCCATAAGACTTAGGCTGCAATACTGTTTACCACTTGGAATACCTTTTAGAATGAATATACACTTTCCTTTGCCTGTTTATCTGCTGAGTCTTACTATTTTTCTAAATGAGTTGTACACACTCTTAATAAATTAAGGATATTAACCATTTTTTTATATTTGTTGTGAATATTTTCAAGTTACTTTCTCTTAACTTTTAAGTCATTAAATCTATAGTTCTTTTTCCTTGTTTTATTTATTGATTCTAAATTTAGAAAGGCCTTTCTCATAAAGACATTTGGCACATGTATAATTATATTTCCTTCTTATTTTTTTAAACATTAACATTTTCATTCTTATTAACAGCTTTCACTAAATGCCTGATTTCCTCAGCATTATATGTGGAAATTCTTTCTTTCTCTATTGAACAACTTTATATAGTCATAATTAAGATACCAGCCTCTTAACAGCACCTGAAATCCAAGTCCTAGTTCTGTAATACTGTAGTTATTCCTACAAAAGATGGACCATATTTCCATACTGCAATTCTTGGCTTGCCCATGAAACTTGCTCTGATCAGTGGCATGAGGAACAGATGTGATCTGTGCTAGTCCTTAAGAGGTATTGCGCTTTTCTGATTGCCCTTCTGAGCCTCTGGGATCACCAGGTAACAGTTTTCCCCTTTAGCCTGGGTGCCAAAAGAAACAAAGAAGCAGAGCTGTCCCAGCTATCCTGCAAGTGGTGGAGCAGGATAAGCAGGAAAACCAGCCACTGCAGTGGGAAAGTAGGGTTGCCCAGTTGACCTCAACCTGATCAGCTTACTTCCCAACCAACTTGTGAATGTGTTAGAAATAAATTCTTGTTATTGACTGCCACTGAGATTCTGGAGCTACTTTGTTACACAGCAATAGCTGATTTTATATCTTTATATTGAGATTTCATGGTTTGGTGGTAGAAACTCTGCCTTTTAGAGCAAAGGACAAATGGCAGAATTTCCTCTCATCTCACTCCTGTCTATACTATCTTGACTCCAAGGGCAAAGGCGATTGTTCTTTCCTTCAGATCAATGTCATCATGTGCTCTTTTGGATTCTACAAAATCACTAAATGCTTCACTTGGATTTTGCTATGGTACTTTTTTTTTTTTKG